CTTTAGAAATACCTAAATGATTTTGAGCATTAGTCAAAAGAGAATTTTTTAACATTTGAAGATGATTGCTAACATGATTATGAACTTTTTATCATAATACTTCATATACGTTCTATTGTACAAATTATTATCAAACTATAGATCTGTAAGGAACTGGGAAAACTGTCATACTAGTTTTTACCAGTAATCCAAAAGTAGGGTTCATCTGGGGGTTTTGGTGATTAAGATGACTTGCAAAGGGCATTTTATAGCATGGGCTATGTTTCAAGTGATTGTTTAATGTTTTTTAATGTTTCAAACATGGACATTGCATCTGTTAATTGTCATGTGTTGCATGCTGTTTACGCTACCGTGGCTGAAATGCACTTGCCTCTGCTCTGAAGTTGTTCTTGTGAAACAAGATGCCATTCTGTAGCAGCTTTCTTTGTTAAAAAAAAAAACCAAAAAAGACAACACAAATATTTGAGGGTTTGGATGTATTAAATTTTGTTTGTGATACCATCAGTGGTGAAAAGTTATTTATATAAACTTTCTTTAATGCTGTGGATTGTTAAATGCCAAAGATAAATGACTACACTAATATGTTGTGACCCTTTTTCTGTAGTTTCTCAGGAGCAGTTCAAAGGTAGAGGAGTGACTTCAATGCAGCTGCACAAATAACATTCAAAACAGGTGCTGCTTAAATACGACTAATTGGAAGAAGAATATATTTGGGTTGCATGGTGAAGTTGGAGGGGTTGGGTACAGGGGTGGCATCAGTGAGAAGCTACTCGAAGCTTTCCCAGTGTCCGGCAGAAGACTTGCCACGTAGTAAACAAATTCTCCAGACTGACTGCGCACTTTAGGTAGGAAACCAAGCAGAAGTGGTCTGAAATATTGCCACTCTTTATGTTTAAACCTGCACCTTCATATTCCAGGATATGCAGAGTGCAGACCCAGCTCCGTGAATGTTGTTCACATGGAACCTAAGGCAGAGCAGACGTGTGTAAGCACTATTTCCACACTGCTTTTAAAGTGTACTTGGCAATTACTGTGTGTGAACTGGCAAAAACTTACTGCCACGGGAACCTGCAGAAATCACTAATGTTTCTCGTTAAGTTTGGGAAGACGAGTAGTCCCCTGTGTGGGATTTTCTCTATAGCACTGGAGAGGGGGGAAAAAAGAGCTTGTAGGTGATCCAGCTACAACATTCAACATTAGGATCAGAAAAAAGGCAATAATAATAATAATAATAAATAAATAATGCTAAAACTTATGCCCCATGTTGCTTTACATTATAAAAATTGCAAGAAATGAGTTTGCACCCCAACTGTGTCCCTTCCGGCCCGGTCGCCTCCTGCCGTCTCAGGGACACAAGGAGGACGCCCCCGAACGCCGCCAGGCGCTGCAGCTCCGCGGGCGGAGCCCGGGCCCTGTGAGGGGTGGTCTGGAGAGCCCTCACCGCCCCCAGGTGTCGGCCGGCCCGGGCTCCGCGGGGCCGGAACCTTCGGGCGCGGCGCCGGAGCGCGGGGGGACGCGCTCTGCTGCAGCGCCGCGGTCCGACGGTGTCGGGCGGAGATGGAGGCGCTGGGTCTGGGGGCGCTCAGCCCGGAGCAGGCGGCGGCCCCGGTCAACACGGTGGAGGTCAGCGCGGGGGCGCGGGGGAAGGGGCGGTGGGCGCTCCCGGAGCGCGGCTGGGCCGGGCCGGGCCGGGGTGGATGGCGTGAGGGGGAAGGAGCCCGCGGTGCGGGACCTGCGCTCGGCTGCTGAGGTGCCGCCCCATTCTCAGCCTCTGCCCGGCCCGTGTCCTGCAAACACAGGCGCAGAGGTTTCAGCCCTTTAAATCCAGCTGGTTGCCTCGCGTGGGCACAGGGAGGAGATGGGGGCCGAGTTTCGAGTCCGTTTGGTTGCACGGGGCTCTTCTGTAGGAAGAGCACGCCGGGCACGGAATCCCCGTGTCCACGGTGCCTGGCGCTGTGTTTTGCCAGGAATTCGTCCACGTGCTCCTGCACCGCGAGAGACAGCGTCACACCACAGCCACGCCGTGGCCGTGTGCTCCTAAATGCTGAGTGTCGGAATTATGAGGTGTTGATGCTCTGTGGATATTACAGTGTACCCTCCGCAGGAGCTGAGTGATGCGGCCTCACTCGGTGCTGTCTGGGTATCTCTCCTCCCAAATCTGGGATGGTCTCTCCCCATTCCATGGTGAGAGAAGGTGGGTCTGATTTAAGGAGATGTCCCCTGCAATCACTGAAGGATAGAAGTAAGGGAAAGTTTGTAGGAACCTTGATACGCTTTGCGCTCGTCAGCCTTGCTGAATCTTTGTAGGAGTGGGTTTTACAGAGATTGTGTCTACAGGTGCTGCTCCCAGGACTGAGGTTCTTGCTTGCGTTTTGTAAAGTAAAAGTCATAGGAAGTCTTCCCTTCCTAGGAATATAATTTACAGTGTTAACCAAAAAAAAAAAAAAAAAAAAAAGCTAGTTGATCTGAAATGAGGACATAGTAGTAAGGAATTTTCTAAGAAATATATATTCTCACAGAAGTTGCACTTGGAAAAGGCAGCGTGCTGAGTAGATTTTACTCGGTGCATCCTGAGTAAATATTGCACAGCACATCTGGCTTACTAAGCTGATTCATGTCATTTTTATCATTCTACGTTGGCTTTAGACAGTCTTAATTTTTTTTCCTAAATAGATATGATTTGAAATAATGTTACTGACTAAAACCCAACAATAATAATAAAACAAACAATTCAAAAAAGCTCAAGGATCTGAAGTGTTTGTTTGCTGTTTG